ATGCCACATATTAAAATAAATTCCATTTGATAAATATTTTGGCTTAAATATGCCATAAATGAAAAAGTTCGAAAAACTGTTACAACGTCTTTATCATCTTAATAATGTGACGTCATAGGTATACTCCTGATGTTAAACATAAACACTAGACGTATACTTTTCGTACGCTTCTGAATGGTTTAAATATAATTGACAAAAAGGAAAATTTTGAAGCACAAAGTAATTTATTTTTTTGTTTATTTTCTGAGAAATTACACACAAAAAATTCGGAATTCAAAATGGTGGATTTCCTTAGTTACGGACTTGAAGAACGTGGGTATCTAACCTTTCAAAATACCTGTCAACGTCCCATGAAAATTATCGTTCCAAACAAACTGCATTAGAATTTATTTACTGATTCGGACGCAGGTATTTCATATAGTGCTGTTTTAATTTATTTTATTTCTGTAGCAAGGTAAACATTACTTTCTCTGTCTAAAGTTTTGTAAAGTGCTGTCTTCTCGTTTTTCATATGAATACATTAAATTTGCAATTACTTTAAAGATATTTTGGGATTTTGAATTGAAAAAAGGGGAATATTTAAAAGGGGCTATCAAAAACAACTATTTGAAAATAGAAAACAACATGGAAAAAAAAATATAATACGAACAACAGTTAACAAAACACTATAAGGAAACTAAAGATTAAGAAATACGAAACCCGACAATTGTAATATGAACTGTGTTGTTTTAGCTACCTGCGAAATCCTCAATATATGTTTGAAGGAATCTTTTACGTACAGGCAGCCGATACTTTATACTGAACGAGGCATTTGGTTTAACTTCATCGTTTCTACCTATGATGGCTGCGTATTTATACATCCCGCACAGCCACACATTTGGTACAGAATATTGTTTTTCAAATCGGATAATATTGTGTATAAAGGCAGTCACAAAGGCATTCTTTTGTCAAAATGAGTATTTCTACATATTCATATTCACAAGTCATCTTTGCTGGTGTCTAATACCAATTGTTCTCTAAATATCAATGCATTTATAACTTTTAAAACTGTTCTATGGTTGTTTACTCAGTTATCTTTTGGCTATTTTTAATGTTAAAGAAATCATAGACATATAGGCAAGACTTCTGAAATTGGAAAAGAATGTATCTGACTGGCCTTAAACATTGAACTGAATGAACATTGACATATTTAAATGATAGTACATTCGTTAATTAGCAGCAGCATGTCTCTCACTTATTAAAAACCCTATACTGAATTAAATCGAACGCGCTTAAATTCAACTAGTATAGTAATCATCCATTTCTTCTTTTAAATTAATATCTGCAGCCATGCAACCTAATCACTCCTTTGGACAATAATGTTACGCTCTTCCAAAGAACCTATTATCAAGAAGATCAGATCGATATTTACTCAGAATTTACTATGTTTGAAGTCAAAAACAGTGAATTTTTCTTAGTATTTTATCGATTTCCTTTTTCCAGGTAGGCTAACCCCAATGTAACTAAGGTATAGTTATGTGGCCAACTTGGTCTTCTTCCAGTCGGCAGTATAACAAATTCTTGGGCGTCCTTCTTGCTGTTTATGGTGTATGAATACGCAGCCACGTCCGGTGTATCAAACACACAATAAACTTATAAATTTCATATATGTGCACATACATTTACTAGTAAAACTGTTTAACTATGAGAGGTTATCAATATTATAGGCATTAATATTATATAATGTTTAACTATGAGAGGTAATCAATATTATAGATATTAATATTATAAAAGAAGTACTTATAGTAGTCATTTAATTCTTCGAATATTTGTTTAAAATCGTTAAATTTTCCTATTGTTACCAAAACTAAAATAAACATGTTTTTTTTCTTGAATCACAATATCAAATGAAAAGTAGTAACTAATATTACAGACTTGAATATATTTCATTTCGATTGAAATTGGGGTTTTCCCGTTTGCTATTTGTAGTACTTATATATAGATGGGAACTAGTATAACTAGTTATGATACTAGTTCTGCAACAGTACTTACTATTTATAAAGTTTGATGTTAAATGCATAAGACACGAGAAAAGTTTTGACGGTTTCTGTGGGTAGGGTTTTATGGTACTATATAAAGTTTGGCATTTAAATGTATTGGTATCGAAGGTGCTCACATTAAAATCGAGAATGGAAATGGGGAATATGTCAAAGAGACAACAACCTGACCAAAGAGCAGATAACAGCCGAAGGCCACCAATGGGTCTTCAACGCAGCGAAAAAATCCCACACCCGGAGGTGGGCCTCAGCTGGCCCCTAAATAAAAATGTGTACTAGTTCAGTGAAAATGGATGTCATACATAACTGCATAACATAAATGAACTTAAATTAAAAAAAACATAGAAGACTAACAAAGGCCAGAGGCTCCTTACTTGGGACAGGCGCAAAAATGCTGCGGGGTTAAACATGTTTTGTGAGATCTCAACCCTCCCCTATACCTCTAGCTAATGTAGAATAAAGAAACACACAGGAATACGCACAGTAAAACCCAGTTTAAAAGAAGTCCGAGTCCGATGTCAGAATAGGTAACAAAAGAAACTAAGCAAAATGGCAATGATACATACATTAACAAAGGACTACTAGCAGTTACTGACATGCCAGCTCCAGACCTCAATTAAACTGATTGAAAGATTATGTCTTCATCACATGAAAATCAAGCACAATCCCTCCCGTTAGGGGTTTAGTATCATACCATCATAAAATATTTCAGAAGAACATAACCCGTATCATGCCAACAACTGGTTTTAGAATAAATATGTTTATTTCCGATGCGATGCAAAGATCCTATGAGTGAATCAGTATTAATACCAAAATATGCAATCATTTAATGACCTGACAACAGTATCGTAACTATATCCCTTCTGAATAAGTCTGTTTTAAGGTTTGGTTAGCTTTTGAGGTGAATACCGACATTTTTGTGCTTTGTAAAGAATATTACCATAAAAGATTGGGTGTGAGATACCTGAACGTATAAGATGTCTGCATGTTGATTTATATCTACGAATGATGGCCTTGTACCGATGATAAAATCTAGTAAATATTTTGACTAGTTTGTGATATCGAAAACCCTGGTGTAATAATTTTTCAGTAATACAGAGATTTCTTTCGTTAAAATCAAATACGCTGTTACATACACGAGCGAATCGAACAAGTTGAGATATATAAACACTATAAGATGGTGACAAGGGAACGTCACCATCTAAAAATTAGTATATATACAGTTGCTGCTATGTTTATTACATGTATTTATAAAAGAAATTAGTACAATTAAGTAAAATAAAATATTGTATTGCAAGAGAAAATACTATGTTCCTGCGAGCAACTAATCCTATTTCTGTGTTTGTCTTGTTTATCGCCAATTGAATTTAGAGTAGTAATACTTTAAATTCGGACGAGCAGGGCGAGGGAGAATTTAAAGTAGTATAACTTCACCAAAGTAAACATTCATATTTTAAATGGGATGAATATATCAAATCAATGTTTACAAAGATGATCGTCAGGCAATCCAAAGTGTTTCCAAAATCAAAGTGTCAGCTCTTTCGAACCAAGAGGAAACACTCTTTTTTTTCTTTTTTTTTTGGACACCGGGGCAGACAAACATTGTCCGAATTAATTTCATTTTATTTTATTTGATATTAGAAATAAGTTTACGATTGATAAATAAATGGATTGGGTTTTAACGTCCAGTTAGCAAAGATAACATGTAAATTAGGACAACATGTTGATGTGATATGAAAATGAACCCTGATTTGTACTAAACAGACAAGTTGAGCCGGATTTTGAGTGCAAAAGTTCACAAAGTTACCGGCTGCAGGAAGACATGTCACCATCATTCTGACTCAGGGTTGATCACTCTTTGTTTTTACCCCTTATACCGCGTGCTTAGCTAAGAAATTACCAACTTTCAAGTCTTTGGTTTGAACTGGCCTGATATCGTACCCATGACGTATCACACTAGCGGCAGTCACGCTTCCAAGAGACAACCGAAAATGTTAACACTCGAGAAAAATTTTTAACTCTTGAACAAAATTATCACATGAATTTTATTATACGTCTGATTTGTTTACCAAAAAAACCAGTTGAGTATACGCATTTGTGTAGTTCTTCTACAATGTAAGGAAATAATTACTAGTATTTGTAAGAGAAGAACTTTTCACCATTTATTCAGATGAAAACGAAACCACACCCACTTCGATTTGCATGTAACTTATCACAAGGAGCTTGTTATGTCAACATTGTTGGAAAACGTCAGACATTTTTATTTGGTACCTTGTTAAAACAACATTATCTTTTATCGACATTTGAAAAAAAGCGCATATACTTTTATACAAAGATGTGTTATAAATTTATTGTTTTAATATGATAATATTATTTTTAATGAGACAGACCAAAAGACGTTGAAGTTAATAACTATAGGTCATCTTACGGCCTTCAACATTAAGCAAAGCCCGTACCGGACAGTCAGCTGTAAAAGTCTCAGGAATGACAAATGTAACGGCTTGATTTGTGTACGAAACAATTAACAAAAACAAATATGATATACAGCAACAAACGACAACCTCTGAATTACAGGCTCATGACTTGGGACAGGCACAAACATAATGTGGTGGAGTTAAACATGGTTGCTGGCGTCAAACACTCCTTCTTACATAGGACAGTGGTGTATAAGTACAACATATGAACATTTTTAACGATTTATTGTGACTTTTTTTTTTACTCAGCTAACCATAGACAGGACTTGGTATAATAATATTGTTTAATCTGAGACATTATCTGCAAAATAATTGAAACTATTAAATGACAAATACTGTTTGAACCCAAAGGCTTTGAAAACTCGATACTGAAACTTAGTAACTAATTTCTCTGATGTATTGGAACTGCACTAAGGTTATAAAATATACATGGCAATATAATTACTACTGCAAAATGTTAGAAAATGATCATTAAAAACAAATATATATTCATATATAATCGGTATGCTCTGCAACACAGACACAATTGTTGGAATTAATACAACGTTGAAAAATTGACTACAAACAATTGCAAGTAAGGTAGGCATTTGCGAGATTCTATTTCTATTTTTGTCAATTTTGTGATTTGCAAATAGTGTATTATGTTCTAATTTTGGTTAAAACCAATATATTGCGTTTATTTCTACCTTTAAAGGTGCTGAGCCTTACACGAGACGTTTGAATTGCTCTGTGCGAAATTAGTTATCTACTTAAAATTTTAAGGATTAACATTTCATTGGAAAATTTGTATACCGTCCTTCAAATCTCAATTAAGGTTAGCATCTTTTTTAATACAGTAGCGGTATTCTAATTCCATTTAAGGGGGTCTGGGTGGGGTTTAAGGGTGGGGAAATGTCCTTCATTTTTGTATTCTTTAATATTGTAAGTCATTTTTCTCTGTTCTTCATATATTTATCTGATTTTCTATTCTATATATTTAAGCACTCTATATCTCTCTATTCTTGATTTTTTTCCCTATTTTTCTCCATTTAAAATTTTTTAAAGTTCATTTTTTCAGAAGATTCGTTATTCTGTAAACCCCATACAGACCCTAATTGAAAGACTCCGACCATAAAATTGACGACAGACGTCATCATGTCGAAGCTAATATTACACTTCATATTGCAGATCAATTTTGTTTATTTTCTCTAATAAAGATTATTTAATAGGGTGACTCGTTTCTGTATAAAATATATCCTTCATGACAAAACTAGTTTAATTATCCAAAAATTACTGTGTCTAGAAAAGGATATTTTGACAGTTTGCTAGAGATATTTGTCGGAAACTGGATGAGCGAAGGTCTGATCAAGAGTAACCGTTAACGCTATGGAAAAAAAACCTGCTGAAAGATAGACAAGTGGACGTCTGATCAAGATTGACACTTGGCAGTATGTTTTCTAGAGACACTTACCAGAGAAAAGATAAGTGGAAGACTGATTAAGATTAACCGTAAGCGGTATGAGAGAGACAATTGATGAATAATGGATTAGTGGATGTCTGATCAAGACTGACGCTTGACTGTATGCAATAGACACTTACCAGAGAATGGATAAGCGGAAGTCTGATCAAGACTGACGCTTGACTGTATGCAATAGACACTTGCCGGAGAATGGATAAGCGGAAGTCTGATCAAGATAAACACTTAATGGTTTGCACGAGACACCTGCTGGATCATGAATAAGTGAATGTCTGATCAATATTGACAGTTAACGGTATGCACTAGACACCTGCCGGAAAATGGATAAGCGGCAGTCTGATCAAGATTGACACTTAATTTAACATATGACATACCTGCTGGATGCTGAATAAGAGGATGTCTGATTATGAATGGCATTAGACGATATGCTATTTAGGGACATTTGCCAGAGAATAAATAAGCAGAAATCTAAAAATGATTAACCGTAAACGGTATGCAAGACACCTACTTGATGCTAGCTAAACGGGTGTCTGATCAAGATTGGCACTTGACGTACGTTATCAAGAAACACCCGAATAATGACGGATGAACGGATGTCTGAAGAGTATTCGACATAAGGTGTTTTAATGCAGACGCCCAGATGCGCGGATTTATTGGGACGCTCCTTTATTGAGCCACATATGGTTAGTGCATAGTCTTTTTCTTAACGTTGCCTTAGTTAGCCCCCTTTTTTAATATCCTGGATCCGCAACAGACGACGCTGTATTGATTTCAACCCTGCATAGTTATATTTCTGACGTAAGCATGTGACTTATGTGTGTAAAATGAAAAGTATTTGATAGAGATTGATACTTTTCTATATAGTAGAGGTACTAAAATGGTGATGGGTACGCGGAAAACTGCTCAAAATTGACACTTACCAGTATGGTAGAGGCCTTGCTAGGTAATTGGTCAATAGAAAACTGAACGAAATTGATTCTTTTGGTTATGCTATAGACATCCATATAATTCATTAAGGTAATCACAAGTCATACCTCTTGTTTTCTTGATGTAAACATTTTAAGAAATTGGGTTAAAGCACTCTTTATTGGGAATTTGGTGTAAATAAAACGATGTCTATAAGCTTTAACCTCAAAACTCATATTACGATCGTGAATTTTGACTGCTGACCTTGAAATGGAATCACTATCAATACATATATAACACAGCCGATGTTAACAATGATGGCTATAAAACAAGGTTTAACCCACCGTTTTCTTTGAAAAATGCCTGTACCAAGGCAGGAATATGGCAGTTGTGTTTCACTTGTTCCGTTGATTGATAGCGTTTGACTTTGTCAGTTTTTAGGGACTTCCCCTTTTTGAATTTGCCGTGGAGTTTGGTAATTTTGTTATGCCTTTTTAATAAAGATTAAATCCTGAGTCTTTAAATTATGATGACATTAAATAAAAAATATCTGCTAAAAACACAAATTCTTCACAATAAATGAATAAATCAAAAACAATGTGATGTCCCTGACTTTGGACAGGTACCAAAATATGTGAACCGTCTTAATTAACTGTTTGTTCTAATTTTAGATTCAGACTTTCACAGTGAAGAGATGTTGTTTAAAAATACATGACTTTTTTCACTATTCAAATATAACTTTCATACATGTAGAGGTGTCAGGAGAATGTTTAATTACATTTCCTCTTAGTATTGATCGCTTCAATGCAACACTACGTGCAGTTGATTCAGATGATCAATATAATAATTATTTTCCAGGAAAACTTAGATCCGTAAAATAATTACTTAATCTACTGTTAACAAAGAAAAACGTCGACAAGTAATTAAATAATATTGCAGATGTGTTAAATGTACATTTTTGATGCATCAACGGTGTTATAACTATTCAAATGTATGGAAAATAATTTACGGCATCAAACCTTCACCATTGTGTATATGTGTGGAAAAGGGGAGTCGCGATGTGGAGGGTTGAAATTTCTTGGAAAAAATAATTTCATACTGAAGAGAAGTGAAAAAAAATATACAATTCTATTAAAAGTTTGTGAACAAAAATTGTAAGTCTTGTTTTGTTTGCTATTGGAAATAGTTTATTCATGATTCATGTTGAAACGTGACAGTCTCAAGAAAAAAAAACCATGTTATCCCCACACAAAGAATAGTCGGTGTCTAAGATAATTTGAAGTACACGTATGATTTAATAATTGCGTCTGTTTCCTGGTTTTAATTTGTTCGCACTTTACTACACTTCATATAGGTGAGCAAAAAATGGGAAAAACATATCAAATGGTGCTATTATATTTCTTATTTCATTTTCGTCGTGAGAATAAAATGATATATTTGGAAATACTTCAACTTGAATGAGATAGCAAACTAACGCTTCAACAAGAAATCTTTATAGGAATAGATTGAAATAGTTTTGACTTAGAAGCAGTCCATCTTATATCTAATATTTTTCCTCGTGTACCACTAACGACCAATAAAAGTATAACACCATATTAATATTGTCATCTTCTCATTGCTGGTGCTTGATACTCCTTCGCCGGTGCACCGGTGATGCCGGTTTAAGACCAGTTGAATATCGATTGAAAGGCGCGGTTTACCAAACATCAAAACGGCATGCCGCTTCGAGTCGAAAAAAGACATGACACAACGGCACTAAGATGGTCAATAAATGCAAGTTTCTTTTAACAATGCTAAATTAAAAACAAAAATATCATGTTCCTCTCCTTCAGAGTGTCAGAAGAATCTCCTAAACCATACAAATACGTTTTATATAAACTTTTTAACTTTTATAATTACCTGTTAAGTTTCAAAAAGACGAAATTCACTTTTTTTTAGTATGCTGAACTTAACCGTGTATTTAGATTTTTTTTATTTTGGGCCCGGTTTTCAAATTGGTCTACATTAAGGTCCAAAAGGATCCAAAATTAAGCTTTGTTTGATTTAAACAAAAAGGAATTATTTGGGTTCTTTGATATGCTGAATCTAAACATGTATTTAGATTTTTCATTTTTGGGCACAGTTCTGTGTCAGAAACTTGTGATGAGTCAAATATTTAAACACAATCCAAATTCAGAACTGTTTCAAGCTTGAAAGTAGTGTCCATACTTGCCCAAACTGTTCAGGTTTCGACCTCTGTGGTCGTATCAAGCTGCACTCCGCGGGAGCATTTTATTACTGTATGATACAAACTAATTTATTATATTTTGGGTATGAGGAATGTCAAATGCATTTGTCTAATGGGAAAGTATCCATCTCCACTGACTATTTTATGAAAAACTATCGCAAAAAGAAAAAAAAAAGACAAACGGCTTTAATGGTCTGCATGAAGGGTCGATGTATAGTCCATCAAACTTGTAGTATGACAGTCAATAGAGAACAAAGTCCAATTTCTAAACGCTCTTTGGTAGGACCATTTGAATGATTATGAAATGTCATTGTTTAAGGGTAAACAAAACAAAAACACAATCCCTGAATGATTTTACTGATATATAGTTTGAAATGTCAGTTTTGATGGGAAAAGACATACTATTCTCATTTCCCATACTTAAGACATGATCTACACCAATTCAATACTTTAAATAGCAACTACTGTGCATCTGACAATTAATATGTTCATATTTAAAATTTCCAGCATCGTAAACATGATAAATACTAACAACAGGGAAATTTTGACCAGTTGATCTGAAAATAACCTAAATGATATAATCCTATTTTGTATACCTTGGTATTTTTTAGTGATCACGTGGTCAGTTCATGCTGCATCCACGTGTTAGTCTCCATATCTAACAGAACAGTTTAATCATTGATATTTGTTGCAGGTTGATAGATGAAATGACGAAAGATTGTTCTGCTGATATTTCAAACGACACATTTGTTACTACAGATATGTCAAAACAAGATCTGAAGGATTCGGAAAAGCTGGGAATGTCAATTGCGGAATCAAATGAAACCTGTATCATAAGTGATATATCAGCTCATGATATAAATAGAACAAATTTGACGTCATACAACAACTTATGCGCAGTTGACGACACCCATGACGTCACCAACCCGTTGACAGAGAAAGAAAAGGGCAAAAAAGAAATTCCAAATTCAGCACAAATTAAAAGGAAGGGGAAAGTACTTTTGAAGAAATTTCTGATATTCCTTTTTTCTCACGTAGGTCTGACATGCCTGGTTATAGGATATTCAATTCTCGGTGCCATTATTTTTCAAAGTTTGGAACAAGGAAATGAAAAACAAAGTAGATTAATTACTACAAACCTCAGAAAGGAGACATTAAATGAGTTATGGAATGCGACATATCGTTTTAATATTTTGGAGAAGCCAAATTGGACAGGACAGGTGGAACATACTTTGCGCCTTTTTGAAAAGCAAATTTACGTAGCCACAAAAGAACTAGGATGGGATGGCATTTCAGATGAGGCTGTGGGTGAGCTGCACTGGTCTTTCACTGGATCCTTGCTATATTCAGTCACAGTTATTACAACAATAGGTAAAACATTAGCAAGATTAAGTTAACAAATTTAAACTGACAAAAATATTTTCTTTTTTATATTTTAGAGGGGTAACAATTTGCTATGTCACCCACTCAGCTATGTGTTATTGATATAAGTACTACAACTATACGCATATATGTTTACACGAGTCCTATAAACTAAACCAAACACACAGGACGACTCTTCCAAGGAACAAGTGTTTTTTTTTGTTCGTGCATAATAGACCATGTTATAACTACAGAGATCTATAAATTTGCTCTAAATTGATGCCCACTAATGTTTACGGAATCACTCGTACGTTAAAGGTGTCATACCTCCAATTCCAAACCCCTATATAATCATCCAAATTCTACAATATTCACAGCCTTCTAGATATTTTATCTTAAGTTTAACTTCAAACAAAACAGGTAGATTCGGAATTGTACATGTATCACCTTTCAATATTTCAATTTTCAAACAATTTTCAAAGTCTTGTATCGAAACACCACCGTTGGGAAGTCAAGCGCAACTAAAGATAACCTCTGGTTTTCTGAAAATCTTAAATAAATATACTAAGGAGCGCATTAATCCTAAATGTTTAATGCAAAATCATATGTATGGTCTATATATATTTCTCTTTCACCAAAAGTTTAATCTCTGCAAATTTGTTTGTAAGTTTAAGTAAACAATGACATCAAAAGCACCATTTTTGTAAAAAAAGGAATACTTTTACATATGTTCTAAATTGAAGTGGGTGAAATGGTGGTCTTATAACATAAAAATATTATTATTTTCATAGATAATACTCCGAATGAAATCATCAAACATGATATGATAAGTAGGAAAATTTGATACCTAGAATGTCAAATTTTCCGACTTATCATGTTTGATGATTTTATTCGGAGGATTGTATATGGAAATATTTTTGTTTCAATCAAGCCAATTGCATTATTTTGCAACTAAACGAATACTTTGGAGGCTTTTTCTGCGTTATGATCAATTAGTACAGAAACCAAAAGAGATGCATATTTCAGTTGAGTTGTTGTAATGAAATATATAACAAGCAACAACGGAAACGTAAGGGATGTCGCCGAAGTGTTATGAGAATTTATAAACAAATATCGTTTTTGCATGGGACCTATATTTACTCATATTTTATGCCATAATTGACATTATTATACTTCATGTCAAAATGCAAGATTTTGATTGGTTAAAATAAGGGCAACTATTTACTCTATCCCATGGCAAATACTCTATTGTCCTTCACGGAGACGCTTGCTCAAGTGTGCGTTTTAATAAATATGGATGATTGTTATGTACAAGACGTCATAGTTTATTACTTTGAATTTGAAATTTGATAGACAGTAATAACAGAACATTCAGTATAATAAATTAAATAACACATATATGAGACGGTGATAGAGCAGACTGTTATCCCTCGAAAAGACATTGTCAACCTTGGCTTCGCCTCAGTTGACAATGTTCTCTCGGGGTAACAATCTGCTCTATCGCCCTCTCCACTATGTGTTATTAATATATTAGTAGGGATCTTAAACCTATTGTTGACCTTTGGTTGTTTTTGTTCAATTGTGTTTCAATACTGTATAATTGTTTGACATATTGATAGACAGTTGTCTATTGTTCATGGCTGTTGACGTCGGATGAACTCAATGACATTTGAGTGCCTATTTATGAATGTGGGTTGATGTGTAATTAACATTTACTCAATATCTTTGTCTATTCATATAGACCAATCTCGAGTTTTTTTAATGAGTGAGTTACACTGGTTGACCCGAGAACAAGTTGAGTAAATGACGTCATTGAACAATCGATTCGTTCTTTGACGTAACAACATAAGCAAGTATACGGGAAAATGCACGAATTCAAAAGTCGTCTATTGCTCAAAGTGGCTTTTAGAAAATACCTTTTGGAATAATAATGATATATATTAGCTTAATTATATGACATATTTGACTTGATATCTGACAGGCTAAGTTTTGTTACTTATGAACGTGCGTGTTGGTAAATAATTGTAGGTAGTGTTTATTGCATTTCAAAACTATTATTGTTTCAACTGCATAACATGAGCTTTGAAATAGTTTCCATTATCTTACTCTTTTATCCATATCTACCAAAACAAAACGTGATTTTTGGCAATACTGAGTGGTTGTCTTAGTTGCTTTTTGTCGTATTCGTTCCCCGTTTGTTATAACCATAATAAGTTTTTTTTTAATTGTCTCACATTTTGTAACGGCGGGATCTTCAACATCTTACTAAAATGTATGGATTGTTTTCATTGCTAAAGGTTGTATGGTGACCTATAGTAATGGATAGTTGTCTTACAGCAATCCTATCACATTTTCGTATTTTTAAATTCATTTCAGAAAATGTTTTAATTTGGTATTCAGTAGGGGATCAACTTCGCAGGATGACTTGTGTTTAATTTTCTGGGCACCTAGACTTCTTCCTGTCGACGGTTGTGAAATAAATGCCAAAAAAAGGAATGTCATCTGGCTGTGCTGGATATATAAATACGCAGTCAGGTCCTGTGGGAATAAGATTCTTAAAACCGAGGCCTCGTATAGGCAAAACTATGTCCATATCCAATATACAAGTCAGATTTCCTGGTATTCTTCTCTGTCGACCTCCATTGTAGAAAATAACTTTTGAATTTATAGTTCATTTGTTCTCATTCTGAATATGCATGCAATATTTGCCCCGGATGTTAGGCAATTAAGCAATCCATTAATTTTTCAATAACTAATTATAGCATCCAATCAGAAGGATGCATCCTTTTCGGTTTCACAAGTTTAGGCGAACCTTTTCCGATCTGTCTATCATTCATTTTACCTGCGTTAAGCAAACAATAACCATCAACATATTTTCTTTACAGGTTATGGTCACATTACACCTAAAACTGCATGGGGAAGAATTGTTACAATGATATATGCATTCTTTGGAATACCACTGACATTGTTGTGTCTAGCAAATATTGGATCCCTTCTTGGAAAAGGATTTCAGATCTTTTATAACAGGATACCAGTCGTTAGAAATAAACGGAATTTTGGCATTGGACATGCTTTACCACTTCCACAAACAACTATTCGCCATGAAAAGGTCAAAGGTGAAGATGGCACTATAATCGAAGAGAACAAATTAATAGTTTATATTCCTACTCGTACTCTGCCGCCTCCGCAGCACGTGCCCATAATTGTTTGCAGTTTACTCGTTATAACGTATACACTAATTGGAACATTGCTTTTTCATTTATGGGAAACTAGTTGGGACATACTAACGTCTGCTTACTTTTGTTTCATCACCTTGTCGACTATTGGATTCGGTGATGTTGTCCCAGGGCATAGTTTAGATTCGTGGCAAAGTCAACCAAAACAGTTTATATGTGCCATTTATCTGCTCTTTGGATTAACTCTATTAGCTATGTGTTTTGATCTTTTGCAAGAACAGGTGAGAACCTTTGCTAGATGGTTTGGAGAATGTCTTGGCATTGTTGAAGTTGAGGACGACGAAGAGAACGAGGAAGACACAGAACACAATATGAATTAGATAGTTTGTCAAGCACATAAGCACAATGCATTACGGTCAAGATACAGTAAATGAATCGAGTCAGATTATGCAAACAACTGATGAATGTAAAATTTAAACTAAAAATCGAAAAAAATAATGTATTTTCACTTTTATTTTCTGAGAATTGTTGAATGAGTTCTGAATGTATTGACAAATGTGTTACCGTGTTGGTATTGAAAAACGTCGAAAAAAAAACAACGTTTTATGCCTGCACAACGGGACGACATATCGACGTGTAAGGAAAATCTACGAACTGGGTATATAGAAAAGATAATTTTGAAAAAGTTTTAGGTACATTTTACGTACATTCTATATAAATATTGAACTATTGTAGGGATATTCAATAATATAAAAACAGAGGCGAAAGATACCAAAGGGATCCTACAACACATAAGTCGACGACAAATTGACAACGCAGATAATAAAAGCAAGTTTTTTCAGCAAGTATAACAGTTGAATTTATTATTTTTTCGATGTTCAGTTAAACGTATCAAAGTTGAACGAATTTTTTTAACAAGAATTTGTGGTGCAAATTTTATAGTTACTTGATCTTCATATTCAGCTTTTCAAAAGATAACACACTTCGGTATTGACTTTTCACTAATCCACTATACAATTATAATTTCACATTTTGCATCTTTATATTGATTAAAATTACTACTTTAGAGATGTTTTAAAAGGCTCACCACTGAACGAAAGCGTCCATTTTGTGATTAACATAAACATTTTATTCCAGTTGTAAAAATGAACAATTTTAAAGCCAGTTTTGATTAAATCATCGCTATGACAGTGTCCTCATCCTAATCTGTTACTACGGCAGTAATCTGGTTCTCCCTCTTGCAATATACGGGTATCTGAGTCACCCTTGTTGTCGGAGCCAAACAAATAAAAGACAGTTCGTAACTTCGGTAGTCGCAATAAGCCACACACTTCAAAATACATTGTATTTCAAACTTAAAACAATTGTTTTTAATAGAAAAAAAAATATTTTAGTGAACAAGTAACATCCTGCGTCATTGTGTAACAGTGGAATACGATCAGAAGAATTTGGTATTCTTGAATTGGCAGACGATATATAGTCTTGAGTAAAAGTCACATAAATCATACATGTACATGATATTGCATTGTCAAGTCAAAAATACGGTATAGAACAGTCAACAAAAAATCAGGGCAATAAATGCTACATAATTCTAAAGATTTCTGTCCACTAGCATTCTTCTAATTGCCTCAGGGGGTTCACGCTTATATATTGGCGAGTTTTTGATGTGTCAATGGGCCACTCGATATCTCTCGGCCGGAAGTCGAAATGAAATTCTCGGAACGTCTCCAAAGTTTTCGATCATTTATACAGGTAGTTATCTACGTCTTTGATACGGTCCCTCTTTTGCTTGGCTACCACGTGACATTACACTATCAAAGTAAATTGGAAAGTAAACAATAAGGCTAGGTTGCAGTCAATAAATCGTTTAAATATAAGAACCTTTTTGCCTTTTCACAAACCATATATGTTTTTAATAATGTGAATGTTTATAAGCGCTTTGATGTGAAAGTTTCTAAATAAGTATTATGACAACATAATTATATTTGTTTTAAAACGACCCCTGTACACTGTGTGTATCTAGGTCAATTATAACGTGGTATTGTGCATTGTCATGATAACATGTAAACTAATTATGTCTGAAGATTTAACCACGTGTGTATTTTCATCATAGACTAAGGATAGAGCATTCTGGTTTAAATGTGTATATAAGATCGGAAAACATAAAGATAACATTATTACCAAAAGTATTCAATTTAATTAATTCAATAGAAATCAAAGAAACATATACAAAATATAAACTGTATTTATGTTTCTGTAGAAACTAAATATTAAATTGAAGTCAGAATATTTTCAGAAAAAAAAATGTTGATTAACAATAATAATTATATTTCTACGTTAATTATTTCCTACCGTTTTAGTAAGGTTTTATAAGTGATTGTTATTTATTTTTTTGTATTGTAATATATCCATAAAACGGAAAGTATGATAAATTAATTAAATATTTAAATTTTAAACGGTCGTGAATAAAAATACTTGTGTGTTTTCAATTCACAAAGATTTAAAATCCTTGCAGCTCACAAAAAAAAACGTAATAATTATTTACAATAACCAAAACAAAATTTAATTAAGTACTATCATAATGTTAATTTTTTTGTACTGTTTTAGTATGAATTTATAAGTCTTTGCTTATATTTTGTATAGTACATGTAATCTATTCATATAGTGGAATGGTAGAATTTAGAAATAGATTCATTTGATAAATAAAATGTCCGTCCGTAAATACTTGACGTTTGTGTTTATTGATACTACATGTACATATATTAAAAATTTTCGGAAAAAAATTACTAACAGGAACGTAAACTATGTTTATTATAAAATTTCAATTCTATTGTTGTTTGTTTGTTTTAATAGTTTAACCTTATAACATCTACATATTTGTACTATGGTACGGTTTTGAAAATTGTATTCACTGTGTTGCCGAACTATCCTACACGTCTTGATACATTCACATTATTTCAAACGCACACTATCGGTTTGCGTTCTCAAAAATTCCAATAATATTAATTTCACTCGTGAATGCGTATTTTCGTTTTTCTTATTTAAATTTAGGACACGGCTGTAAGAGATTGGCATGTGACTTTCATGCACGGTCATCATTTCTTACAGTATTCTGACCTCTAGCTGTTTCTCTTTTGTTTCTTTTTAGAGTCACTGTCCTATAATAAACGTTGACCTTTTCGCAAAGCTAAGGATTGTCTACCCAAGGAATAGATTCCTTAACTTTGTAATTTATTTGGCCTGTTAACTTTTTTCGTTTGAGTGTCACTGATGCTTTTTTGTAGTCTGGCGTCTGGCGAACATCATTTTAATTCTGGTATCTTTTCATATCTACATACCTTTTTATATAAGTTGGTTATTTTGAGGGTATGTACAGGTATTCATAAAATTTCTGAATTAAGATATTAAGATTAAAACCAAGTTTCCCTGTAGAATATATGAATTGATTTAAGTAAAATCAGGAAATCCTTAAAATTTGAGATGTTTTATTAGACCAAAAAAAGTCTCTTTATAAGATGTCCCAATCAGTTGCATGCCACAGGTTTCATTGCACATGGAAATTGGACTTTAGATTTATCTATACAATTACCATGAGCAAAGACAGCTTCAATAACGAGTTGAGAACATGAAGGTCCATGCAGGAAGCAAAATATAAAGATATGATAGATAAAATAAATGCATGCAGAATTCCAGATTATAAAGCAAGCTGAGTGCATAAATTTATATTGCGATTGGTTTAATTTGTGCAATTTGCATAAGTCATCCGGTTTGTAGAAATTGGGATTTGAAAAAGGGTTATCATCGGGAAAATTATGTACATTCCCAAGTACTAAATAAAATAGTCTAGCTTTAAAATGTATATTCAAATAGTAGATGCCAATATACACTTTCAACTGACTTCTAATCATAGTCATTTATTTCAATTCAAAAGCAAACACAAATTCAGCAACAATCCTTTGGGGACCCGGCAGTCAGCGGTCTTAGGTTCACGTGTTGCTATTCTTTTTTTTAAAGAAAGCAACTTGTTTTTCAAAAATTTCTGTGAAGCTGTCTCACAGTAGTTTCGTTGAAATGATATCACTATGTTACTACATAGGTAAAAATGTAAAAATACCCATCGCAATCACAAGAGAAGTACGTTTACAATCTACAATACTTACATGTTCATATTAGGTTTGACCCGATTCCCAATAGAATCGTTGTACACAGAGAAAAAAGACAAACAACGACGAACACTATTTGATTCAAATAACCTACTACTCATTGTTAACAGAATCCCGTCCTCTTTTCATACACTGTATACATGTGTGGTTTTTTGAGAAAAAATAAAAATATAATGTTAATTGCTATTTAGATTTTTTAAATATAAGCGTTGTTCAGGATTGTCATTACATAGTCTTCTGTTTGAGTGATGCTTTTAAATTATAGGTATTATTTAAGCAAACATGTATATTTTGGGTTTCGAAATCCCTTTGAAATTGAATGGCTAATGACGTTGATTTTGTCACCATAATCGCTTTTTGAAGAGTTACTTTTCTATTGTCCTCACTTCACGTTTTTCGCTCTGTATCTTTAACTCTAGTTTTGTGTTTGCCTTTAGTCACTTCACAACATTTGTATTGCATCAAGTCACATTTTAAAAGACAAACATGTGCAACTTACAATTATTACATATTCCAATTACTGTTGACCTATTTTTTTTATTTTTTTTTTTTTATAGTATATGAGAAATACATTGTAGCTTCAACCAGGAAAACAACATTGACTATTGAACAATGAAAATGAGGACGAGGTCAGACGAACCCTGCCAGAAAGATATGTACAATTTACATTTATCCTATACATAAATATCGTGTTTTATAGACCGTTGTTTGTCGTTTGGTCGTTAAATTTGTTTTTTTACCATTGCGTTATGAGTTTGTCTTCAATTTCTGAGTTTAAATATCACTTGGTATAAAAATAAGAAGATGTGATATGATTGTCAATGAGACAACTCTCAACAAGAGACCAAATGACAACTATAGGTTACCGTACGGCCTTCAACAACGAGTAAAACTCAATCCGCATAGTCAGCTATAAAAGTCCCGGAAAAATTTAAAACAATTCAAACGAGAAAACTAACGGCCTGATTTAGGAAAAAGTAATGAACGAAAAAAAATATGATATACAGCAACAAACGACAACCACTGAATTACAGGCTCCTGACTTGGGACAGGCACATACAGAATGTGGCGGGATTAAACTAGTCTGAAGGCGCCAACCCTCCCCCTAACCTAGGACATTGGTGACATCACGATTGATATTATGCTGAAAGTCTTTTAAGATAATGGTTTTACTACAATCATCACATAAACTTAACGTTATCAATGATCCATGCAAATGAGGTCTATGTCATATGATACATAAAGACAGCCATGTGCATTTAACAAACATTCCATACACCAAATATAGCTGACCTATTGCTCATAGTGTCTGAGAAAACAAAAAAACTTAACATTGACCAATGAACCATGACGATGAGGTCAAAGTCAAGTGAAACCTACTGGACGGCCATGTATACTTTACCAGAGTTTTATACACCACATATATAGAAATAAGAAGATGTGGTATGAATGCCAATGCAACAACTCTCCATCTGGGGACCAGATGACGTAGAAGTAAGCACCTATAGGTCATCATACGACTTTGAACAATTCGCAAACCCCATACCGCACAGCAAACTAATAAAGAACCCGAAATGACAAATGAGAAAACTAACGGTCTGATTTATGTACAGTATAATTAACAGAAAAAAACAAATATGACAACAGCAACCGACAACCACTGTATTACAGGCTACTGACTGGGGACAGGCTACAGAGATACTAGTAGTTGAACCTCTGCTTATTGTACCTGAGAAATTGACCTAATCACGTAAACTAAATCGATTTTCCATAAAATGAGGTCGAGGTCAGGAGAACCCTGGCTGTCTGATGGACATACCTTAAAAGGATCCCATATATCACATATTATTACCCTTTTACTGATAATAAGTAAGAAATTCAGATGACCAAAGAACTATAGTTTTTTAAGCAACCGCTGAATGTTAGTTCATTTATATGTTTTGAAGTTTAGTGTGACGTCCATTTTCACTGAACTAGTTAACAATTTTATTTAAGGGCCAGCTGAGGACCACCTCCGGGTGCGGGAT